TGCCCTGGCAAAACACACATATTAAATATTGTAGCGCTAGCGTATTTGCACTTTGTTCACACACCACTTGTTAAATAAGATAAGTTATAGTACCTTGCAAAAGTATTCAACCTCCTTAAAAGTAATCAGATTCATCTGTATTACAAATTACACTTTGATAATTTGTGCTGTGTCAAATATTATGTTAAAAGACTGGCCCTGAAAATGAATTAATTAAAAGTGATTTTGTTTGTTTTGTTTATTCTGTGACAAATTTGACTGGCTTATAACTGGCTGTAAATCATTAAAGAAGTTCATTGTGTCTGGATAAAAGACCCCCTTACTGAAGAAAAAACACATTAAAGCACAGCTAAAATGTGGTATAAGGTTTTGTGGTCAGATGAGATGAAAATTGAGCTTCAGTTTGCAGAAGAAATCTGCTAACCGAAATGGACAAAAATCTTTCTCAAGCAGTGTGCAAATGTGGTGGAAACAAAGCTGTTATTACAAAGGGCTGAGTTTTTATGCAAGCACCATTTTCTTTTTTTTAAGATCTGCTGATAAATATTAATTTTTGACTTGAAAATTCACCTTAGGAACATATTGGTTTGCTTAAAAAACATTGGCTGGAACAATGTGGTTCACTGGGTCAAAGTGTCATTTGTAAACCGATGATTTTGAGGGGTATTGAATGCTTTTGCAAGGCATTTTAATAGCCAGCTTCAGTCCTTGAAGATTTGTGGTAAAGGGTTCAGTAAACAAATAATATTCAATACACAAATGAGTCTCTGCATAATCGACTAGAGTACTTAATAGGGGTGGGAATCTCTAGGCACCTCATAATTCAATTCGATTACGATTCAGAGGGCTGCAATGCGATTATGAAACGATTATCTTTTTTCTATACAGGATTTCTGTTTTCTCACTGTGTGACAACTTTTTTTTTTTAATTTTTAAAGCAAAGTATCTGTAATGATCCATAATGAATTTACTTCCAATATCTTTTATTAATAAATCAAATGGAAGCGAGATGGCAAGTCAACTGGAAGATTCTCGTTCACTACTCTTGGAGCATATGAGATGCAGACTGCCACTCATCTGCGATAAAATGCGCAGTTATGGTGAAACAAGATACTGTGGCAATGGGTGTCCATGCAGCAGTTTACAGCTATTCTACCTGTTTTCTTCAGTGATTTCATAACTTCGGTTTTCGTCTCGTTGTAAAGAGTAGGGGGGGGTCACTGTATCAGTAAGGACAAAATTACTCTTATTAACGTTTGGGTTGCTGACCCCTGCACTAGCTTTTATTGTAGTGTGTACACCACAGACTGTCGGGGCGCTGCACTTCCACACTTTGCAAAGTTCCACCTTTTGCGTTCCATCAACATTACGTTATCAATTAAAATAGAAATATCAAGAAAATCGATTTTTGACATTTGTGAATAGATTCAGAATCGTCCACGTCTGCATCGCGATGCATTTAAGAATCGATTTTTCCCCCACCCCTAGTACTATCTGGCTAATAAAGCTTTTAGCCAGATAAACCCTGCAAAAACTGTCTCACTTTTTATTAGAACTGACTGTTTGCTATAGATAGGGTCATGCACTCAGGCTGTCATCATTGTCCATTTCATTCTTAATCTCACCAGTATTTCATGCTCGCATTGTGGATTTAATCCATGACTCTCCTTCTCCTGACAGGTAAGTCCAGAGACAGGATTTATTCAGGAGTAGGCTGACCATTCACAAAACGTTACAGCCTGTTAGGTCATGGGTCATGTTAGGCTGGATGTAGCCAGTGGGCCAGTAGTTTAAGCCCCTAGTGTTTGGCTGTGCTCTACTATATGGAAAATAAATGCACTTCTCCAGTAAGCAACAAAATCATTTGGAAAGCAAGAAACTCATTAACCCAGTTTCATGTCTCTAGTTATTGCACATGATCATTTAGGTGTTTTGCCCATGATATATAACATATGTGTAATGAAAGGCATGTGACGGACACCTAGAACATGCACCAGAGAGTGCATAATTTGACTTTGTCACACAGTGATTTAGACATGTTTTAACATGTCTCTGTTGTCCAGTGATAAGTGACATGAAATGTAACAAGTCTTGACTTGTTTATTTAGAAGCTCACTAATAGCATAGACACTGCTGGGATATAGCATAGATGAGAAGGTGAGAAACCTTTTGTCATAAAGACTGAGCTGGTTATGTCTCATCTCTATTCCATTTCATGCCCTCCAGTCTTGTTTTATTTAATGGGTTAGATTTAATCTTTTCATCTCATGCCTGTCTGTCTAATGTCTTTAAGAAGACATCAGAGACAGCAGAGGGAGGAGGCAGGCACATGTGAACTCTTTCACCTCTTTCTCTCTACAAATCAAATAGCTGATTTACCAGTGTCATTAAATAAACAAGCTGCCATTAATGCCTGCATTGCATTATTAATATAGCCTGTCACTCTGCTGTTGGTTAATAGATAGAGCAGGCAAAGAACAGGATCCCACGGTTTCTCTCAACTGGTTTTAAATACTGGTCCTCTGTATGGGTCTCTCTGTCTTTATACCACCCTCACCTCATTACCATCTTGCCACATGTGCACATTACACATGCATGTAGTGTCTTGGATATTGGCACACATGAGCGTCTTTTTAAGTTTTCAACATTTCAAGAGTTTCGCTTGTGCAAATGTGCCTAGTGAGAATTTTAACATCAAACTTGGCTGTTCTCTAATTCTCAGATTTTCTTGAACATTCACGTGTGCTTGAAACACACACACACATGCACACACACACAAAAAAATAAAAACTTAGATGTGAACTCAAATGTGAAGTAAGTGAAACTACTTCAGGGGTTAAGACAGACACACTGACTGAAAATACAATTTGCAGTCTTAACTATCAATATATACAGCTAAGTGCCTGTCTGGTTTATTACCCATTTTTTTTTGCCTCTTGTGATACGCCTTTCAACAAAACAAAACAGCATTAATTGACTTGTGAATTGACTTGTGTGCTTTTAGTGCCTGCTGCTGGAGAAACTTCAGACTGCAATATGTGATCTTGTAAATGAATGAGTTAAAGCCAAAGTCAAAAATAAAAAAAATAAGGTTTCACTCATCATCATAGGAGAGTTGCCCTGGAATACATCTATAAATGTCTGTGAGAAGCCATGAAGCATTGTATTTTCATAACTGTACGACTTATTTAAACCATAAGCACACTTAAACTGAAAAGAGAATGCTGAGATGGTATATCGCACTCTAAGAAACCCCCAGCATATTTTTTTACTTTGCATGCTGCAGCTGTACAGTCAATCTTTCAGTAAACATTTATACTTAAAGCCCCATTCTGAATGGTACTGAATTAGCCTAATAACCAAGGACATCTCCTAAGCAGGTTTTTAAACAAAGCTATGTTCCTATATAGGGTCATGTTTATTGTGGTTTTAGGCCTTTACATGCAATTTATGACCACTTTGTGACTGCATGAGTGTGTTAGTGAGAACCTGCATTTTCTTTCCTTCTTAAACCCTGGCTGCTGCAAACTATCTACTGTTTAATATCTCTGAGTGCACTAGTTTTACAGTAGGGGGAACACAGATCCTATATAAAAATCAGATTATGATTATGACTGATGAATCATTTTTTTTAATTGATTCGAAATATATCACAACGCATCTAAGAACCGATTATATTTCCAAACCCGTAGAGGTTGAAGTGGAAGTTACCATTAGCATAACGCCAGTCAGATAAATAAAAGCTACTTCTAAGGTGAAGGTTTCTTCAGCAAACGCTGTTTTTTTATGCACAACTAGCTTGCTCATATTTACAAAAGGTAGTCTAGGATCAGATTGGGTGTAAGTGTGTGTTTGAGTTCTCCATAGCCTCAGGACACTGTGAGAACATGAGAACAGATCGGTCACTCTTGCTCATTTTCAGTAATCTGTGCAAGTCAATGAGTTATATTTTCTCAAATCATTCTCTCTTTGACCTTATGCTCATTTACTCACTAGCAGGAAATGCTGAAGTTAAAAATCTAAATAATGACAAACATCACTTGTTCTCTAGTTCATATATAATCACATATAATATAATTTCAGTATTTTTGGTGTATACCACTGCTAGTTTGGTGGTGATTAAGCTGTGTCCTGATGGGAAACGAGATGTACAGATAAATGTCAAAAAATAATGACAGATTTAACTGTCTAATATACACTGTGTAATATTTATTTGACTTCTCTTTCAACTAAAACATAGTGCCAACAGACATGTGGCCACATACAAGCACTCAGAGAACTGTCAAAGAATATGATGTTATTTTGAGAGATAATATTGAGAGGTAATTACTATCCTTTATTGTTTTAGTCTCTAATGTCTTGGGATTCCTATCAATAAGCTTGCACATTTGATAGCTTGATAGTTATAGTAGCCTTAATAATTTGTTGATTGTGCTGAGTGCTAACATTTATCATCATTTATGAAATGATGATAGATAGGTCACCCTTTGTTATTGCTAACTCTGTTACTGTTTCACTTCACGTTGCAGAAACACCCCTGCTTGTTCTCTCTCTCTCTCTCTCTCTCTCTCTCTCTCTCTCTCTCTCTCTCTCTTTCTCTCTCTCTCTCTCTCATACTCATTGTCATTTTCACTGGCTAATATACATCCATTCCCTTTGTTTTTCCCCCTTTACATTTGCTTTTCCTCACATACCCTCTCAACCTCACTTGAGGTATACATTCTCGCTCCCTCCCTCTCCATTTCCCTCTCCCTCTCCCTCTATCCCTCTCCCTCCCTGCCACACACTAACATATCACCACCATCATCTGTGCCTGTGTCTCAGTCTCTCCCTCTCTCACAAAAACACACACACACAGTCTGTCCCTCGTTTTTGTCTTTCCTCACGTACACTCATGTCGACTGCCACCCAAGGGCAGAACCCTTCCTCCTTGTGTCCTGCATCCCGGCTGTGGTGTGTTCTGCATCTCCTCGTGGCTGCTGAGAGCTCTAAAGGAAGGTGCTGAGGCCATGGAGCACAGCCACATCTTCACGGTGCTTTCCCTTAACACCAGTGCCTGGAGCCCAGAGCAGCTGCAGCCGAACAGCCCCCAGGGCTGCCCTCTTGGACCTCTTCCAGTCATCTACTACAGCACCTTGCTCTGCCTTGGCCTGCCTGGTAAGAATCCCTATAGGAACCGTTTGCATTACTGTGTATGATTGCTTCTGCAAATAAAGATTTGTGGTTTGTGTGTGTGTGTGTGTGTGTGTGTGTGTGTGTGTGTGTGTGTGTGTGTGTGTGTGCGCATGTTTGCTGTGATTCACAAGCCAGCAAAAACTGTTTCAGATTTCTTAAGATGACCTTGTAACAAGTGGCTACCAGTAAAGAAGTGTTGCAGATTGTCAGTGCATTTAAAGATCATTGGTAATAGGACTGAGAAATACATATAATAAGTCTGATGTAATTTCTATTGGATTCTTGTATCTATTGGATTGGATTCTATTGGATTCTTGTGCATGCATATCTTAATCATGTATGGCCATCTGACCCTGATTGGAACTACCTTTGAGGCTGTGCTGACAAATAGTCCTCAGCCTCTTGTGTGGAAAAAATCACTGTTCAACTTAACCTATGGCATAGAAGACCCACACTACACATAACAGTCTGAAACTCGTCAGTCTGAATGTGCTTAGATGACCAGTTACTTGATTACCCTCCACCATTACGATTTCTGTTTTTCTGATATTGAGAAAATAGAAAGTAGTGTCTTAACCTGCTGTTGAATCAGACTAACCAATATCATATGTAAATAGAATTATTAGACAATTATGAAAGAATGTTCATTTTTAGGTTTAACTTGACAGTGAAGTAAAGTGACAGAAACAAGGGAGCAGAGAGTAAAAGGAATTCAGGGCAGGAAGTTAAGGGGAGCAGTCAATATAAAATGAATCGCCTTTTTTTTAATTAGTCAATTAGCCATATGATGTTGGAGCGTGGGTATAAAGGAAGAGGATGACAACAGAAAAAGGAGCTGCATAAAGAGCTAGTTGCTTGTAGAAGGCAAGTTAGATAAATGCCCTGCTTGAGTAACCTAAACAGTCTACTTCTAACAATAAAATAAGGTTCCTCTTCTCATATTAGTGGTAGTTTTGTGAGAGGTGAGAACTATCCAGCCACGATTTGGATGTGACTAAATTTCACATAATATGTGTATTGAATACATATATTGCCTAGTAATGCACTAAAATTAAGTTAAATCTGTTCCAAAAAATTTGTTGTCCATTTTAAGTGATGCATATTCATGTGGTGAAATAAAGGTTAGATGGGGGTGTTATCAAGAGTTTTCCGCAACTGCCTCTGATAGAAGGCCACAGATCCACATTAATGCCCCTTTCTTCAGCCCAGCACTGCCAAGTGTCACACGCTACTTAATGAAGACATGGTCCGATTGATTTTCCTTTTAGGTCATCGATCTGGTGTCCTCCACCAAGGCTCACCGTTCATATGAGGTGCGTGCGGTATGTGTGTGTGTGTGTGTGTGTGTGAGAGAGAGAGAGAGAGGGAGAGAGAGGGAGAGAAAGAGAGAAATAGAGAGACATTTACAGCGAGTGACTCAGTATGTCAGATAAAATAGTGTCAGAATTCAACATAGCCATCTGTCAATTATATTATAAGGCTTTCATCAAAAAAAAACAAAAATAAAATGGAGAACTCTTACACCAAAACAAAGTATATTGGTTGTATTTTAATGTGATAACATAACTGGACTTGAGTGCTCACGTAGACAGAGGCATGTAATATTAGCTTTTGTTGCACGACTACTTCAGCTGCAGTGACATCTATCTCACGTCTGACAGTAACTTCACAAATGTTCCCTGAGATTTTGAATTAGTCGGCTTGGACAATTCTATCACAGCTTGCTCAAAGTTCAGTGGGCGTCCAATTGCAAACGATGGGCACCCACCATACATCAGAATTGTCCAATCTTATCCAAAAAGGCCAGTGTAGGTGCAGGTTTTCATTCCAAACAAGAACAGCACACCTGACTCCACCTGTTTAATCAGTCAGTTTCAGTCTTTGGCCCTCTGCGGTTAAGATTCGACAAACCTGCCATGCATAAACCAAGCATTTCTTGTAATTCTTTTAATCACTTCGGTGTTAGTATTTCATGTGAACTGCACTCTAGTTAGGCTTCCTGTATTGCATGTGCTAAAAAAGAATAACTTAAATATTTAAAGGGTGCATAACATTTTTTTTATTAAAGTGATATGAAATAGCCGCTGATAGACACCAAAATTGTTTTAGTTTAACATCTCATTAAACCAGTGCTTTCTAGCTATATACCAGTGTAGTGGCATGTCTTAGGGTGGTGGGGCCTGGAAAAGCATCAGCGCTTCTAGAAAATTGAGTGGCAACAGCAGTGCCATCCCAAAGAAGCTGTTGGCAAGGTTCTTAGACTATCAGTCCAATTTTCTACCCATGGTTCCAATTTAATTAAAACTGCAGTCCCACAGTAAAAAATATTTTAAAAAGCAATTAAATATTCATATCTTAGATATTTATAAGGATTATGTTATGATCTATTTAAACCTTTAATCCCAAAGGTTGCTGTCCCAAACCCTAACCCCTAAACTTAACAAAATAATTTTTTGCACTTTTTATTTCAATGTTGTTTTTAAATTTATCTTTTTAAAGAACAGTTGGAAGATATAGATTTAACATGAGTTTAATTTTGAAATAAAAAAATAACCCATGTGCAGAGCTTATTTTAGCTGCAACCCCAGCATTTTAGAACAGGATGTGAGACTGCATCCCAGTTCCTCTGGATGAGCAGTAAGATCCAATTTGTCTGAAATTGGATAAGTAAATGTGTCTGAAAATCAGTGTGTAACCTTAAAATTGTTACTATCAAAAAAACATATTTTCTGCAATTAAGTATTTAAGTACCAATTTTGTGTTTTAAAGAAACAGTGTTTGCTAGTCATGTACTGGCTGGAATTTTTAAGCTATGCTCAAAATTAGGAAATTTGTCAGTCACTACGGAAACATTTGGTAAAGCTTCATAGGTGTTATCATAGTATTAGTAGTGACTTTTAATAAAATAAACACAAATAAATTATAGAATCTTTATTGAACCAACACAGTAGAAGGGCCACACTCATATAGTGGGTTTGACATGGTTTCTTTGAGTAACTTTTAAAATGTATAGAGTAAGCCAATAGTATAAGTGATGATTTTGTGAGTTGAACTGGGAGGTGGAATTTACTTTGAACAGCCTGAGAGCCTTGCAGCCTAAGGTGCAAATAGCACATCAGGAGAAAGAGCCTAGAAAAAGGCAAGACATGAAGGGGCTACCTAACTGCTACCTAACTGCCTATTATTGTAAGAAAGACAATGGTCAGTGACCAAACAAAATAATGCAAACTAAGATATTTTCCATTCTGTAACAAATTAACGTTCAGTTTCCTAAAGCTGTGGCTAATCACACAAACTGCACTTAGGGCCACCTATTATGTGTGTTGTGTTGGTGAGGCAGTAGAAAGACCTGTACCTGCACCTAGTTGCTATGACCTCTGCCATTGTTAAAGGAAATCACTATCGCTAATGCTAATAACTGCAAAACTGTTTGCTGCTAACTGCTCAAACTTAACGTTAATGTAAATTAATTTAAATTAGTACTTATAATTTCTTGTATTACTGTTAGGCCTTATCACTTGTCTGTAAAGCACTTTGAGCTGTGTTATATAATTAAAGATTATTCTTCTTCTTATTGTTATTATTATTATTATTATTATTATTATTATTATTATGTATTTTATGTTTGTTATGTTAAGTGTAATTGAATGGCTCCGTCTGTGCATTTGTGCGTGTGTGACTCACACAATGAGCCCTTATCTGGAGACTGCTTTGTAATTTCTAATCAGCTGATGTGCTGTGGCTGTGAAGTGTAATGCTCCAGACTCCAGTCTGCCATATTTAATCTAATTCCACATGTATTACCAACCTAATTGGCTTAACAGTGAAGAAAGGGACGTCACAGTAAAAGTAAAATCCATGTTTTATACAAACATGGACACATGCTAATGTGTTAATGTTTCATGGCATTGCTGTTCAGTGCTTGTATACTATACATATTTTGTATTTTGTGCATATTTTGGGGCCACTGGACTTCCTAGTCTGAACCTTCCTTGACAATGAAGAGTCACACAACCCAAAATCTCATATGTTCTTTGAACCCCACTGTATGACTTACTTGGATTATTATTTATTAATTTGTTTTGATGATAAAGTCGTAAAGGAAAAGACACTAGTTTGAAGTGTTGTGGGTACTGGGTGGATCACAACACTTGGTCTACGATTCATTCTACGATTCACTGATTTTTTTTTTTCCACCAGCCACCTTCTGTTGAAATAAGTTAAATGGAATACCTTGTGAAGCAGCAAAGAGCTCTTTTTGCATTAAGCAGAAGTTGTATGTATTTTTCTATTAGTAATCAGAACAGCTGGGAGCAAAATCACCCTCTTTGACAGCAACAGGCTTATATAAGGCCAGACCCTTTTTTGTCCATGCTCACTTTATCACAGTGAGGGGGCACTGTGTTTGTTCTGTCCCCTGTGCATATAGCCTTTTGACCATGCATGTTTTAGAAGACAAAAAGAGGGCTTCATTCTTGGGCTGTTTTTTTCAGCGCCACTCTGACTGAGGTTCAGACAATTGCACAGTTTCTGCTGGTGCAGTGTCATTTTCCTCAGACGCTGTTGGGTATTCACATTTATTAGACATAATAAGTGGGACAGAGACGGGGTGGGTGCCACCAAGAAGCACAGCTGGAGAGGGGAATGTAAGTCATAAAGTAAACATGTGGTGTGGTTGTGAGTATTCAGTGTGCTGTGTGAGGTTATGAACATATTCAGTTCATGAATTATTCTTTTAAAGCTGCACTATGTAAGATGTGTTTGTTAAAATTTAAGGAATGTACGTTAAGAGTTAAAATATATATAACTCAGAAAAGCACATTTTAATGTAATTCATCTTGATAGCAGTAATATATTGCCCACCGTTTATGACTTCTAATGCATTTTGTGTCAGGCCTTAAGAGCATATTTCTCATACAGGTTATGTAATTAGAACACATATTTGAGTTAAAAATTTAAATGTACTTACTCCCATTTATCACTCTCACATGACCCTGCTTGTTTTTACCTTGTTCTCTACCTTTTTTTCTTTTATTTTCACTGCCCACAGCAAACATCCTGACTGTGATAATCCTGTCTCAGCTGGTGCTGCGCCGCCAAAAGTCATCCTACAACTATCTCCTGGCTCTGGCCGTGGCTGACATCCTTGTCCTCCTTCTTATTGTTTTTGTCGACTTCCTACTGGAGGATTTCATCCTCGGAACCCCTTTGCCATTCTCCCTTAACAAGACAGTGCAGGTACTAGAGTTCTCCTCCATGCACACCTCCATCTGGATCACTGTGCCCCTGACAGTGGATCGTTACATTGCTGTTTGTCACCCTCTGCGCTACCACACCATCTCTTACCCAGCACGCACCCGCAGAGTCATCTTGGCTGTATACACTGGGTGCCTGCTATCTAGCACCCCATATTACTGGTGGCCCGAACTGTGGCATGGGCTTCCAGGGGCAAGTGGAGGGAGCAGCAGCAGTGTAGGGCAACACGTGCTGGTGTGGGCACACTGCGCTACTGTATACTTGCTTCCATGCTCTGTCTTCTTCTCACTCAATGCAGTGATTGTGCGGAAGCTCCGCTGCAGGCGTAGCTGCTTTCGTCTCCGAGGCTACTCCACTGGCAAGACAACTGCCATCCTGCTTGTCATCACCTCTGTATTTGCCGTGCTGTGGGCGCCAAGGACCATCATGGTCCTATATCACCTGTACACTGCACAACCTGCTAAGCCTGACTCTGCCCGTCTGCTCCACTTGGTCACTGATGTGGCCAACATGTTAGCGCTGCTTAACACGGGAGTAAACTTCTTCTTGTACTGCTTCATCAGCAAGCGCTTTCGAGCCATGGCTGCCACAGTTCTCAAGTCCTTTTTCCACTGCAAGAAGCAGCCACCACCCTTCTATGCCACGCACAACTACTCCATCACCAGCAGCCCCTGGATCTCACCAGCCAATTCTCACTGCATCAAAATGCTTGTTTATCAGTATGATAAGAATGGCAAGCCAGTCTGCATATCATCCTGAGCTCAAATATTGATTACAGATTGAACCACACTCAACAATTTGCACAGACAGTAGGAGTCAGCCAAGTACAATTACCAACAGGTAACAGATCATGTGCAAATGTTTGTTGAAATTGTAAAGGTTGTACACCAAAAATGGCGATGATGAAGCTGTCACAATAAAAAATGCTAACAGTGATTATCAGGATATTAATGCAAAAAAAAAAAGACTGAACTTCAAAATAATTTAGTAAATTGTAGAATATCCTAACCTGAAAACATTCCATCAGAAGTTCCATCAGATATTACTAGGTGATGGGCCACTGCTCATTTTCATGTGTTTCATGTGATTAATCTAATAGCTACAGACATTTGTTATTTGAGTGTTTCTTTTTTATGGCATTGACTGTATTCAACTGTCAAAGCTGGAGTAAGGAGAGCCAGTCTAGTTCCCCCACTTCTGTCTGTCAACTGAAAATTGCACAACGCAAAAGCTCAGTTTCTTCACATTCTGCTACTGTAATAGACCTTGTGGTACACTTGACTGTTAGATACGCAGTAAAGGCAAAGATTAGCTCATTAAACTCAAAACTCATTTGAATGGGATTCTCTACCACATGTAGATGGCCCTTTTTTAGTGCTGATACTTAGTGCCAGTATTAGCACAGTGAATGTATTTATACCTACATAGATGCATTGATCACTTGTGTTTTTGATTTATTTATTTAATTTTTGTGAACAAGTGCCATAACATATCTGCAAAAAGGAAAAGCTGTGGCATGGAGCCTAAGGCAATATGTGGGCCTTTTAAAACCTCTTCCCATTTACACATACCTATCACAGCCTTTGTAACCTTGAGGGAAAATTATTATCAAATTATCAATGCCTGTTTCTGAATTGTAAGTATTGCTATCTTGAGTGAGGCTACTGCCATTTATTCTTTTGTTTTGTTCTGTTTTCTCAGAAGATAAGTAAAATTGTAATGAACAACTTCTTAACGGATAGCACTCTAGGACCAAATATAAAAGGGAGACACGTTAAGTCTTTCTTAAAAGTTGCATTGTCCAGTCTTAAGAATCTGTTATCAGATGTCTCAACGAATTACAGTTGATTAAATAAAAAATAATTAAATAATTAAAGAACTAAAATAATAATACTAATAATAAAATACCTTCAAATGATAGAGAGTCAAGGGATATAAGAATAACTGCATTTGTTACTGCTATGCTATGTTACATGTTGTGAAATTAAGTAGGTCCAAATTTTCCCTGTCTGGTGTCATTATTGCAGAATGATGTTTTACATTTGAAATCCAATGAACAATCATCAATGAGTATACATGATACTCAGAAGAAGTATCTCATCAGTCGTCAGATGTTAACAGATGGTCAGACGATATGGCATGTGCATTCAAGCAGCTCTTTCTGCAGCTGAATCACTTTTCTTTGTTGACAAACTGAATTGTGGACACTGAAAAAATACTAAGTTATGTTTTATTTAATTTAAAACTTTTGAACTCAGTGAGACTTCTTCTTGTCTAATGAATAATTCCACAGCATTACTTGCTTAGAATAAAACATGAAATTGATTTCATTGAATTGAATCATGATTATAGATTGGTCACTTGCATTTTTTGAAAGCATCAAGCTTCATAAGATATAATTTCCAAAAGAAATACCTTGAATGCATTGGCTAACCCAAATGAATTTAACAAGTACTGGAGGATAATGCATAAACCTACACACAGTTATGGGGCATAAACTGGAACAACACACAATTTTTAAAATGTGTATTTATTTAGTACAAAAAAATCTCTTAAAAGGGGCCCTGTTAGTTTTTGTCATTTAGGTTTTTACAGAATGTATCAATCATATCAAATTATTTTTAGTCTTTGTATTAAAATATACATTTATATTGGTCAAAGTACAACACTAACAATATTACATTTTAAAGGCCTCTATTAATGTGTCATATTAATTCCATTTTAATAATCCATGACAAAAATGTAGAGAAATAACAGTAAAATAAAAATACTAGAGGGGGTTCTTCACCTAAATTAGCCTACTTATGCAGATGGTTTGTTTCTGATGTGTTTTGCTAGACATGCTCTCCTACTTTTTATTGCATGCTCAAAGCAGTGGTAAGTTGACCGGACTGGCATTTACATGAAAGTATCTAAAAGAAGCAACCTTCACCATGAGAACTTTGATTCCTGTATTGTGGATTATGCTATTGGGCTTAAATATCTTAAAGCCCACAGTCCAGTAAACCATAATCCAATCCTAAATCAACCATAACCTATGTATCCTACCATATATAACTTCTATAAGCTATAGAAGTATTAGTAGTTGTCCTAAAATTACACTAGAGATAGTGCAATAGGAAAGAAAAATGATACCCTTTACTGTCTCTGAGAACTATCTTGTTTGTGTTTTAACGTATTTTAAAATCACAAATTGCTGTGGGTTTTTTGTTCATTTGTTTGGTTGCTTTTTGCTTTCATCATTTGCTTTGTAAATGTAAAGGTTCCAAGCAAATAGCTCTCTGATTTCTATTTTAGACAGGCTAATCCCAACCTTTTCTAGTTCCTTTAAATAAATTACTGATAACAAAATTCCTTGGGTAAGTTATTTACTCATTGTTTACTCATCATTTACTCATAGGCAGTAAGGATAATAAACAAAACTGTATAAACGATGATACCTGATGTCTCCTGAAATTATACTATGTAGATATGGTGGAAAATTGGTCTGTTGAAATAATCTTTTGACTACATAAATGCTTTGAATCTTATTTATAGATGATTGGTTCATACAGAAAAGAAACCAGATGTTTAATTAGTATTCTTTAGCTAGATATCTCTAGCCCTTTTTTATGTATGTCTTTATATTTGGCTTACATTAGTAAGTAATTTACAGCCTGAATGCATATGTAGTAAAGACAGGCTGCCTCCCTTGGGCTTTGATTACACCACCTCCACGTGTTCTTCTCTCTTATTATTTGTGAAACAATCAACTCGTTTAATTTCAAATTGATAGTGCATGTCTAATATGCACTAGGCCACGATAGATACACTCAATTTCAATGACCTCAGTCCTAACCTACCGATCAATAACAAGTTATCTTTTTCATCACATGAAGGGTATTCCATTGGCTTCTAGCAAATGTTTACATGAGTCATCATAAACTGTTATGTTTAGACAGTCTTGCTGGTGGTGGAATGACATAAAAATGAATGACATGGCAGATAAATAAGCACCATGGTCAGCCGGTATTGACTTAGTGCATTGTAATTTATGGTGAAAAGTTAGTAGGGAAGTGGGAATTACACTAGGTCTTTCACAAATTCAGTGATCCTAAAATAACCCTTAAAATTATGTAGCTGACAGGCTCCAAAAGTATCATCTCTTTTGAAAAGTTTAACATTGTATTTTTATATATAAATGAACGCTAAAGACATCCTTTAAAGTTGAAAATGTCTTTTTGATGGTGATTGTTTATGAGGCTTGGTTCATGTAGTTTTGTTTAATTCAGTGAATATAAAATGACGTGAAATTATTTTGCCTTATAATATTTTGATCAATTAAAAATTACCCTGAATGCTGTAGATATTAAAAATGATCAGCTGAATTAATTATTTTGCAACATTGCCTCCAGTTCTACTACTAGAGATTTACCTTTCAGCTGAGTTATTGTTTATAAATGAGGTAACACTTTACATTAAGGGTCACAAATTAATTGATAAGCAAGTGCTAATAAGTAATTAAATAATCAATATTTATATATAGATTAATTGGTCATTAAGCAGTAGTTACTGATTAAGTACTTAGTAATTAGTAATTGATAATCAGTGTACAGTGTACAGTGCTAATGTTACAAATAATTGCCACTTTGTGCCCTTAAAAGTAAAGTGATTATTCTCCTTTCTAATTATACTATGAACTCAGGATTAACACTTGACTAGTTAGTCTAGTCTTAATTTCTCTCTGCTTGTTTTTTGTGTCCTCTTAAGTGGAAAATACATGTACGTTCTTAATTAACTTTTAGCCTGTTAAGTCTTTCATACTTGCACATAACTGATGGTCAAGTAACATGAAGTAACAAGTAATTAATTGTGAAAAGGTAAAATCAGCTCTGAGGATAGAGAAGCAGCTGAATATGTGAAGGTGAAGGAAAATATCCAGTAAAGACCAAGGACTGAGTTACATATAAGACTACACAGTGGAGGAAAATGTAATGATAGATCAGTATATTAATTAACAGATAATTAAAGGCACTAACACGTAAGTATTTGTTAATTCTCCTGTCACTTATTTATGAGTAAACACACCTATCAGTTCATTATCAGTTCAATAAGCAGCAGTTAGTACACATTTGATGAGTAATCAAGCTGTGAGTTAATGACAAACTAAACTATCAGTTAATAGTGTACTCACTTAGTAATTACTAAGTACTTAATCAGTAACATAAGTATTGTGTATTTAAGTACTTATTAACACATAATTGTCAATTAATTTGTCACCCTTAATGTAAAGTGTTAGCATAAATGGTATGTAACAAGTGTTGTCTGTCTCCAAACTATCCTTCAACATATAACCTTTTGAACCCCCTGAATGTCTCAAAATCAAAATTCTGGGTGGGGGGGATTCCCTGAAAATAAATCCATTACGATCTTATGCTTTCTTATGGAAAAATTAGATGCTCTAATACAAATGCTGGTGTAAGTACAATGTTTTTTTATCCTTATACAGTCTGTGAACCAGCACTATGTAACCAGCTACTTAAAATAGGGTCACATAAAAAGTTATATGGGTATAACTTTTTAAATATGGGTAACCTGCACCTACACTCTCAGAAATAAAGGTACAAAACTGTCACTGGAGTGGTATTCTCAAGGGTACATCTCAGTACCTTTAGTCAGGGAACATAACTGTACCATAATGCATTGAAATTATATTTTCTAATTTGTATTGACTCCACACACTCCATCTCGTCTCCAAAGCTTTTTGTTTTATTGTTCTG